TAATCTGTGTTTTGCAGAATGCTAAAATGAAAATCTCCCTACAACATACTGATTTTCCTGGCAGTGACTGGGTTCCAAAATATACCTCACAAGCCATGTAAGTTTAATATCTTYATTACTTTGAGAAATATGAGTCAAGACACAGTTTACTTTGTGGGTCAACACAGTCAAAAGGTAGATCTGTAACTGCACATTAACTACAAAAACATTTGGCAGTAGCTTGAAAGAGAACATGATACTGAATTCAAAACAGAGCAGTGGTTTATCTTATAACTTTCTTAATAACTTACGTGTTTTTTGCTTGTCCATCTCGAAAACACATTTGCCCAACAAGAGCAGCAGACTGGTCACCCAAGCACTGAAAATGAGAGATATTTTACTTTAGCAAATGTCCTCACATGAATTACATATTTGACTCTTATCTATTATTAGCACTCAAGTAATTGAAAGTGAGGAAAAACTTACAGAAAAAGGTTAATGCTTTTTAATTCTCTCCCTTTTTAAGAACTGCAAATGAAATGTGTTATGCTACTTGTGGTGAACAATTTAAAGAAATAAAAATTAATATTAACTATCTTTATACATATTATTGGAAAAAGTTGAGAACCTGCCCAGAATTTCTGGATTGTGTATATACTTCTTTTATATATAAGAAGTAGAGCTTGCTTCCATTTTTAATGTTGCTCATTTACTTAAAGATCCCAAATTTCCAACAGCACTACACATATGCATTAAAGCTCTCTTTTGTATTTCCATAGCCAGACCTTAATAACAACAGATCAAGCCAATTAGTAATTCATCTTCAAAAGTCTACTTCCTGTTTAAGCTGGAGTAAAAAACCAAAAACTTAATTCATTGCAGGATTCATTCATTGTTAAAGCTTTTTTTCTGTGAAGCTATGTTCATTCAGTTCCAGGTTGTCATTCCAGATCTAAGTTGAAGTAGGACTTACCCCAGAAATTGGTACACCTGTCAAAGCTCCAGATTTCTGTTTTGCAAAAAGAGAAAGAAAAAACACTGAGTTAGATTTCCAGGACTACAATTGAAGGCAATGAAAAATAAGCAAAACTTCTAATGCTCAGAGGAAAACATAGAAGGGTCATGTAAGCAACATGATTCAGTTCAGGTGTACACTAAGAAATGAAAAGCAGGAAATTTTACAAATATACTTTATGTGACTTCAAAAGTTCCTAGCATAAATTTTCTTGAAATAATACTATAGAGAAGACCAGGTTCCATGTAATCTGTGCAGTAAGTGCCAAGTGTAAAATGCAAAAGTGCAAAATGGTAAAGTGACTAGAAAAAAAAAAACATGACTGTGGTGACATCCTAAGCAAAGACAGATGCCTTATTTTAAGATACAGCATTTTAAGTCTCACACAGACTTTATTCCTAACATTACCAGAGTTTTTCAGTTATGTTTCAGAATCCTAAAATTATTTAAATTGAAAAAGACCTCTGAGATCAAGTCCAACTATTACTAACACTGCCAAGTTCACTGCTAACCCATGTCTCTAAGTGACACATCTTTGCATCTTTTAAGTACCTCCAGGGATGGTGACTCCACCACTTCTCTGGGCAGCCTATTCCAATGCTTGACCACCTGTGAAAGCTCTTGTTTTATCATTTGTTATGTGGGAGAAGAGATGGACGCCTACCTGGCTATAACCTCCTTTCAGGAAGTTGTAGAGTGGTAAGGWCCCCCCTGAGCCTCCTTTTCTCCAGGCTRAACACCCCCAGCTCCCTCAGCTGCTCCTCCTCATCASAYTTGTGCTCCAGACTCTTCACCAGCTCTATTGCTCCAGCYCCTCAATGCCTTTCTTGTAGTGAGAGGCCCAAAACTGAACCCAGGATTGAGGTGTGCTCTCACCAGTGCYGAGTACAGAGGGACAATCACTGCCCTGACCCTGCTGCCACACCATTGCTGATCCAGGCCAGGTGCCTTTGGCCTTCTTGGCCCCCWGGGCACACCTGGCTCGTGTTCAGCTGCTGTTCACAGCACCTCCAGGTCTTTTTCTTCCAGGCACTTTTTTTTAGCCCCTTTCCCCAGCCTGGAGCATTGCCTAGGGTGCTTGTGACACAATGCAGGACCCTGCAATTGGCCTCATTTAAACTCACACAGCTGGTCTCAGCCTATTGGTCTAGCCTGTCCAGATCCCTCTGCAGACCCTGCCTACCCTCAGCAGACCAAAACTTTGCCCAACTCAGTGTCATGTTCAAACTTAGTGAGGATATCCTGAAATTCTTTATTTTTTTAACTATTTCCTGACAATTTCTGCCTCTTTCTTGAAGTCGCCTCTTTGTGCAATTGTGAAAATGCATTTTCAGTAAAGCCATGCAAGTGCATTTCCAATCTGATTTTTTTTCTTTAATTCTCATTTTAATTAACTGGATTTAAGGTAACTGTGTTTATAAATGCACTAAAAAACTCTGCATGAATCTGATATTCAGCTGCCATAGAATTAATACTTTTAGACAGAATGGACTGCTTTTCTCATTTATAAGATGATATAACTAACATTTATTAGCCACTAGCTAATTTTTTTAGCTCACTCTAAAAAGAAATATTCAACAGTGTGGAAATTAAGACAAACACATACACTGAGATCCCATTTTAGAAATAATTTTGGCATGAACTCTAATTGCATTATCTCAGATTTGGAAATACACAGCAAATTTATTGGTCTAGAAAGTGCACTTTTACTAATCCTTAAACCAATGAAAATGCACAGCATCTGAGCAGAATGGGTAAGATATAGATGGTCAGCCTAATGGAAGCCTCTACTCACCAGGCTAGGACAGATTTTCTACAGCCAGCAAAAGGAAGAAAAAGAAAAAAAAATGGAAAGAAAGGGGAAGAGAAACAGAAGTTCACATTTAAAGTGATGAGCAATTCTGTTCTGGTGGTCAGGCAGTATTTTTTTCCATTTACCTTGCTCATTCAGGTTAAAACAACTCACTCTCATCTGAGCTTCACATAAATAAAAGTCCACAATGACTTCTAGTGGCATTTCTATTTACACATTAACAAAAATATTTACATTTCAGAGAAGTTAGAGTTATATTAAAAAAAAAAAATCTTGTAACTTATGTTCATTATAAAATGCATGTTTTCTTATTTAAAAATAGCTCAAACTACCAGGAAAAAGAATGCAAAATCACAACATCCAGTTTATCCAACTTGAAGTTCATTACTTAGATGCCACTGTACAAGAAGAGTTGGTGCTGCAACAAAGTAATCAAATACTCAACTTCATATAATACTATATAACGATAACAGCATATTAATCATAAATCAAATAAACTTGTCTAGAATAAGCCTTCAGTCCTAATCTATGGAATCTGTTAAATCCATATGAATGCAGGTGTATTTTTACAAATATTTTACAACTTACAAATTTACAAATATTTTAACTTCACACAAATACTGGAAAACATACCATCAGACCATAAATCTCAGAGGAGCTCCGTACGCTTGGAAGTATTTCCATAGGAATATCAAAGAACCTGAACACAACAAAAATAAGGTATTTTATATGGTCAATGCTAAATTAGAAAGCATTTTGTAATTCTTTTATTAAATAAGTTTAAGCTGTAAAGAAAGAAACTATAAAAGGAACTTTTATTTCTAGGTTTTAATCTATAGCTATGTGGTTTTCTACTTGTTACAGTACATGACACTGAATTTTGGAGTAAAACAGAATATATTTCAAATTTTGAGGACATATCCAACTCTTTCATATGGAAATTCATTCCTCTTCCAACAATATCTTAATAAGACACTTGTTCATAAATTCAATTTTTAAATAAAGATACTATCACTCTAGCTGCCTTACAAATTTGATTAAGTAATAAGGAAATTATAAAAATGATAATATTCTGAGTTGGAAGGGACCCACAAGGACCACTGAGTCCAGCTCTTATGTGAATGGCCCATACAGGGATTAAACCCACAACCTGGGCAGTATTAGCATCATGCACTAACCAACTGAGCTAAATTGTTTCTGTGACCCATGCCTCTACCTACAGAAAGATTCTGCTACTTTTAGTTCATCCAGACCATTGTAAACTGGACATTTGGAGAACAATGAATCTCAGTTACTAATGTCAACAGTAAATAGAACACTAACTGCCAATCTTAGTTTAAGTAAGAGATTCTTACCATTAAACAAGTTAGAAACTATTTACTTAACATCATTACTGAAAAACTGAGCTTACTTGCAGAGCTCAGGATCCCATTCCAAGGAATGAATGTTGAACAACATTGTTCTACTGGCATTGGTGACATCTGTACAGTGAATACCTCCATTCTTTCCACCTGTCAAACTCTGAGCAAAATAATAACAGCATTCATCAAGGAGAGACATAGGTTTACTTCAAAAAATTCCAAAAACAAATTTCAAAATCACAAAGTTTGGGACTGGGAACTCTGGTATTTCTGCAACAGCTAAAGAGGCAGATCGAATCTTCTTTCTAAAGTCCAAGATTTTTCTGAAAGCGTGAGCAAAATTTTACAGCAACCTATAATGGTAAACTACATATAAGTGCCTAGAAAAAAATATCGTGGTACAGGGACAGTAAAAGTTCATCTTCCAAGGAACTTTAATGGAATGTTTTTAGTGGCTTGTGTTGAAATTATTGTGTCACCAGTGGGCATGGTATATCATATGCATGGGGATTTGCATGATACGGAAATTCATTTTAAAAAGTGACAATAAATTCTCAAATACATACCCAAATAAGCCAAGAATCAATAGTCCCAAACATAGCTCTTTTTTCCTCAACTGCTTTCCTAATCTCTTCCACATTATCCAAAAGCCACCGAAGTTTTACTGCACTAAAATAAGTGCTAAGTGGAAGACCAGTCTTAAACTGTAAAATGAGAAAGAAACCATTTAACATCATGCAAATATCTTTTCCATAAATACTGCTGTTATATAAAGGAAATGGTGATAGGGAAAAAAAAAACAAAGATACAAAACTCAAAGATATTACACAAACTTGTTTTTAAATAAGTACTAAGCATACAACACACAAGTCTGAACATCAAAACCAAATGATGAGTTCAATAATGGACAAAGATCAAAGCTGATCCAAATGCAGTTCAAAGATCATTTACGTGAAAAAGTTGTTTGCAGAAGACCTGTCTTATCTAGGATATCTCCATATGACTAGACAATAAGTAACAAAAAAAATGAGCAGCACGACACAGGAAAGATGAAATTTGTGTTCTATTAGAACTTAAAAATCAAGTAAGTTATATATTTTTGACATTCATTTCTTGCCTATAGGAAAACATATAATATAAAAAATACATAATATTTATACAATTAGTAAAGGACATTATTAATTTTTTTTTTCAAATATTTAGTTTCCAAATCATTATATATATGCTCACAAAAAAGGAATTAATTTGTTCATTATGAATGATCTTCCTAGTTCTCAGATTGGATGCAATTAATTTCAATACTATGGCATGAGAATGGATAATACATTTCCCACCAATAAATTATTTCCCACATAGTTTTTTTCTACTTGATCTTAATTTTTGTGTGTAATGTTTACTTGATGTTGGCCGGATAGCACAGGATTAAGTTTCACAATTACTCATTTAACTTCTCTAGTAAGAAATTAAAGCAATGTTAACCATTTATTTTAAGGAAATTAAAAATTTTCTAGTCTCAGATTGGTGTCTTATGCACATTTTTATTATTATTTGACAAGCTAAGAAGGGACGAGAAGCTACAACTGACTTTGTTTTGGGGATTTTTAAACACATATATCCAAAACATTTTTTATTGCAGCAGCTACCATTTAAATGTTCTGTAATATCTCTTACCTTAGAAAAAGTTTTGTTTTTTCCTGGAATTCTTTTAAGAAGACGTTCAACTGTTGACTGGGTTCTCAGGTCAAGCCACACTAAAAACATGAATAAAATTAATTGATCAAGTGATTTAATATATAAAAAGTGACATGTTGAGGCTGCTTCTATGAAACCATAGCTCTTGCCAGTGAATTCCTGTCTATTTTTCTTTTCACATAGTTGAAAGAATATTGTACTGTGATTTTAGTTTAAATGCACTGTTGTAAAAATTAAAAATGGCTAGATAAACTCAGTTGATTTAGAGAACAAACAATTTGAGAAATCAAACAGAATTTTCCAAATAATAGGATATATACTTTATCAGAATATAATTGACTTATGCTACTTTGCAGCAGATGACTGTGACTAAACTAAGAAGTTAGAACAAAGAGCAGGTTGATTATTTACTATATCTATGTAAACTTTCAACTAAAAGACTATGCTGCAGGTATCAAGGTATAGCTGGGCTTAAGATAAAACTGTTAAATACATGTATTATACGACTATAGAAGGGGCCTGTTTTTTCAGTCATACTATGCCAAACTATACCTGGCACTTGATATGACCTAAAAAAAACAATTCTAGACAATTACCATTTTTCAGATGACAAAGTCTGAAACTTTCAGGTAAGTTAAAAATAAAAAACTGAGTATATAAGTATTCATTAAGTCATCAATAAGTATTCATTAAATCTACCTAACATGATTTTCTTTTACAGCTAAATCAACAGCATCCTGATAATTTCAAAGGAAGTGATTGGGTGCAAGTCAGAACATCTTGTGCCAGGAACTCCTCAGGGTTATTTTTTGAAAACCAATAAAGTGATTTATTAAATAATATTTTTTATAGAATAGCTTTTTTAAGCTACACTGGTATATGAATAGACATCTTACAACTTAGATATCAAAAAAATCCAAGAAATTACTAGGCTAGGCCACAATCAGATCTGCTTAGAAAACTACAAAAGCATTTTTTCCACAACATGTTCATGATACTACATATTTAGAAAACGTAATAGTTACCAATAGCATTATAAAGAGGTTCTCCAGTTGTCTTGTCCCAAACCACTGTTGTTTCTCTCTGATTGGTGACTCCAATGGCTTCAGGACAAAATAGAAAGTATCCTTTTCAGAAGGTTTGTTTTCCCCTTTTGTGGGGGTGAGGGAGGGAATGGAGAGGAGGAGAGGAGGGAGGAACAGGTAAGGAGAAGAGGAAAGTAAATGGGAAATAAAAAGCTTCCAACTTTTTCAAGGTATAATCTAGAAATATTACTTTTAATAACTCATCTTTTGCTGATCAACCTATATGCTCTAAAACTCTCTCTTTATCAGCCACAAACTGAGATAGCAACAACGCTGTCAAGGATACTAACTTTCCTGAATTAAAGTCCTAAATTAAATTTCAGAATTTATTCATCACTTGTTTCTGTGATGTTACAAGATTAGGTTGAGTCTACTGCATAGATTCTGCATTGCTAATATACACAAGGGACTTATTTTCTCATTATTCCTCCCCCAAAAACTGCTTTCAAATGGAATTTAACTTGTATTTGATGCTGGCACATTCTGCCACCTTTTTATTTATTAATTTAAAAACGAGACTATTTGAATTGCTCAACCACAAGCATGTTAAAGCCCTCAGTTACCCCTAAGTACCTCTTATGTTGGCGATGTTTATGTTCAGTTGTTTCATTTTCTCACAGGTCCTTTCCACACATTCATAGACAGAGTTTAATATTTCTTTTGGATCTTGTTCCACCCATCTTTAACAAACAGTAAACACCATTATAAAAAATCACATTAAAAAAAAGAACTCTAGTCTGAAAAACAAGCTGAGCATTTTAACACAATTATAGCTACAAAACATGTTTGACATGTCTACAAAAAGTATAAAGAATTTCAAACCTTTTTTAAACTGTAAGCTGTACTTTCACAAAAAAGAATCTGAAGAAAACACATAATTTTGGTTTTTTTTATTCTATACAGAGGGCATTGGCAGCAAATGGTAGGTCAGTGAGGAACAAACAAACAAACAAAACCTCAGAGAAGAAACTAAGATATTTCTATGGACTAAGCTGAAGACAATGATTGAACTGTAAAAATTACCAGCTTTATCACCTTAAATAAGATGCTAAGTCTCATTTAAACTTAAGTTTTAAACTTCAAAGTATAGATGTTAAATATGTAAATGAGTGATCAGAGAAAAACGCTAAATACTTTTAGTTTCTGTAACTCAGGGCACATTTTGGACACACAGTGGGAGCTATTTTATGCCATTTTTTCTACCCAGTCTTCTAGAGCAGACACTGTGCTACTAAGAAATATTAATCAACTTCAGTTTTGAAGACACATAGATAAAAATACATAAGCTCTACCAAAATGTACACAAATGAAAAAATTAAAAAAACATACCCTTCTCTAGGGAATTTTTGTTGTATTTCAACTTGATGGTGACTCAAGAGCTCTGCTGTTTTTGCATTAAAAACCTGTAAATAAATTACAGTGAAATTTTCTATGAACACGTAAGTTTAAACAACAATAATAAATGTTTACTCTTTTCTACAAATACAGTGCTGTGACAATCGATAGCAATTTTTTATCATCAACCCCAATATCTATATAACCAGGGTTCAGATATATGCATTTTTAAAATTAAGATAGGCAAAGAATATTTTTGTAAACTTTGCTGTCAATCTGTCAGTTTTAACTGTTTTTTTAATACTTGATGGGTTAGGAAATAATCAGATTTTTTCTCTTAGTGGTCATAGAAGTTAAATTCCTCATGCATTTTAGAGTGTCTCTCAGTAAAATACCCACTGTTGTTGATAATAACATTTCTTTAGCTCCTGCTGTGCTGCTCTATGCTGGAGTATCTGTGTGTTTTCTTGGGTTAGCTCACTTTTATGCAGAGTAAAAATCTGTGACAAATTATAGGAGACAAAACTGAAGAACAAGAAAATACCTAGGCAAAACTCATTTTGTTTCAAAAGACCCTAAAGTACAGAGCTCATGAGCAATCTGACAAGAAAAGAATGTCACCGCAGCAACACTACAGATTAAAAGAGAGAAGAACATGCAGAAAATAACTTAAATTTGGATATACTACAATAAAAACCAGTGAAGTAGAGAATCACGAGGACTGTATTAACTGGTATTCTTCAGGAATCACAAGTTAGAGGTTCTGCCTTGCAGTAGAAGCTCATGGAGAATGCACAACAACCCTCATTAACCACCAGTGGCCTGTTCCCAAAAGGACTCTCTGCTGAGGCCAAGCTAAGGGACACCCGGTGAAACATTCAACTCAAGTGTTCAATGAGCAAGCCAGAGTGCCTGGCTGGGCACTGATGGCATTCTTGTGGGAACAGCTCCTTCTCCCCAGCACCACACTGAATCTTTTGTGTGAAGAATGTTCTGGGACCTAGAAAGGAAAATTGAACAGTAGGTTCAGGTGAACTGCAGAACGTGTCAATAGGACACCATCCTACCTTTTTATGGTAAGCAGAGGTGAGACAGATTTAGAAACCACTCTCACACTAAAGAAACAAAATTCAGTTATACTCAACCACCCTCTATTATATGACTGAATCTTATCTATAATTCCTTGTTAATGATCTCTTCTCATAAACTTTTGGTATCATTTTGACTGTATACTTGACTCTGAAACTATTAGAACAATTCTGACAAAAAGGAGATGAAGTTCTGATACTCTAGATTCTTTAGAACCTTACAGTGTATCCTTAAAGTGAAACTTAGTTTAGTAACATTCTACTTATATATTAGAAACACGGAATAATTCAGGCTGAAAGGGACCTTGAGAGATCTCTAGTACAACCTCCKGCTCAAAGCAGGATCAGCAGYGAGATTAGGTCAGGTTGCTCAAGAACTTTTCTGGACAAATATTGAAAACCTCCAAGAATGAAAACAGCACAACTCTGGAAAACACTGAAAGCTTCAACTCCCCAGAAAAGAAGTCTTAAAAAAGTACTTGATCGTTCTTTTCTGTATCAATTGGAAAGATTACATAGAAAGAACACTGCTGAATCCTTTTTACTTTATTTACTTATTGGTGTTTCCTCTACCAGCTCAGGCTTGACATGGATCTATCCCAATAAAAGGGATAGTAGTACTCTGTCAGTACTACAGATTTGGAAGGAACTTGCATAATGGGATATGGGTCTTAAAAGGCTACACAACGTACTGGGACAGATAGTTTTGCATGTATGCAGCAAGGTTTTTTTACTTGAAATTGCCTTTCTGTCAAAAGGATTCACATTTAATAGGTTTTTAGAACAAAGACAGAAAGATAGAGTACTTTTTACTTAACCTGGATCTAACCTGTATCTATGTATCTGACATACTAACTGTGTTAAATATCAATTGGTAAGCATTCACCATTAATGACTGAGTATTTCTTGAAAGAGAAGGTAATGCAAAGGATTCCTACTGGTAGCAGGAAGTACAGATTCAATTAGACAAAGTCATCAATGTGAGCATGGAGTATGTGACTTGCAGACACAGCAATAAATTGAGACAGCAATACATTTTCAACAGAAACAGTAACACTATAAATGCACAGATTTTTTTCATCCCCATAGAGGATAACTAGGCAAACACACTTTGCTAATCCATCACAAACAAACCTGCAAGCTTCTGACATTCTCAACAAAAGCAGCAGACACTCCCTGTTATTCAGGACAAGGGATTAAAAAGTTTCACTGGAAGCAATTCCTGTTTAAGGCCAGGTTGGATGGGGCCCTGTGCACCCCAGTCTGTCCCTGCCCATGGTGGAACAAGGTAATCTTTAAGGTCCCTTCTGACCCAAATCATTCTAYRAYTCTATGATTCTACACWGATAAACAGAATTCTGATATATGAAAAGATGCCAAATATGAAAGAGTCACTAAATTTTAACCTACAAAATGATAAATAAAGTAGGCTATAAATAGAACAAATGGGACCTCACAGCCTTCATTTCCCATTCCCTCCAAAAAACCACTACTGTTGTAAAAAAAAAAATTCCCTACACAGTCCCTGTTTTTCTCTGACAGTGGTGAGATAGAAAAATAAGTGAGAGTAAATACAAATAATTCAGGTAAGGTCAATACACCCATGTTGAAACAGATTTGAGGTGTATTTCTGTAATTCGTTGGGACTAGAGGTTTTTGATCCTTTCATATTCTTTAAGAACTGATTCCAGGTTATGCTACTGATCTCAGTTGTTGTGTGTGTGGGGGGAAAGACAAAGTCAGCTTTGCCCTAATTTTACCAGCAATACTCATGAAGAATTGTCTAGGCTATTTGGACACGTAYAGCTGTCTTGAACTGAGATGAAAGTGAAAGCCACCAGATAGTGAATTCTCTAGTGAGAGATTAAAGAAAAGGAATAAATAACATCCTCCCTCTACTCCCAACAAAGTAGAGCTTGAGCCTTGAGTGTCAGTTGGAAGGAAGCAAGACCTACATATTGGTGCTATATGTGAACACGTAAAGAACCACAAGGGCTGATAACTGAGCTTTTCATAGGGTCTTTAACATAATACAAATCATGTGAAGGAGTGCAGTCACATATTATTACATGTTATTGTGCATTGTGTTTATGGTTTTTTTTATCTTAGTGAAAAAGGATTCATATCAATCAGTTGAAACAATTTTCAAGGAATGAACAGAAATATGAGGTTCATGGAAGTGATGCAAAAAGCTGCACAGCTGAAAAGTCAATAATGAATACAGATTTTAGAAGTAATTTTTCAAGCTTTGTCTTATTCTGTGCTGTATCTTCATGAATTTCTGTAAAGGTGGAACAGCCATGGCTTTGCAGGCAAACAAGCTCAGAGCTGGAATTCTGAAATAGCACTGAACCAACCCTGGTGTTGGGGTAAAGGATAACAGACGAATAATAATACCCTCTTTAACATTTAACTAGGAGTAGAGGACAGAATTTATGAGTAAGTACATTTTAATAAGTCTCCTAGAAATTATCTTTCTTGTAAGGCTCATGATGAACAGACCTCCCTCCACCATCAAGGAAATGCTTAAAATTATGGGATTTAAAAGCAAAACTACACTGTATTTTAAGAGATAAGTGCTAGAGGAAAACCTATTTGCAACATTTTTAACCCTTCTTGCTAGCTTACAATCAAGTTTTTCCTCTTTCCCAAAAGGTCACGTTACTTCAGTAGAGGGGTAAAACGTATTCTCCTCTGAAGAGAAAGCTCAATGGGTATGAATGTGTATTTCAATTATTGCTGTTCTTGGATAAAATGACAGAAATACTATCCAGCAAATATCTTTCAAGAGATCAAACAGTGGTTCAGCTGACCCATTAGCTCCTGATCCTAAGACTTTTCATAAAAGAAGATATAGTGTATTTTTTTATGTTTCTTGAATAATATTAAATGGAACATGGGAGATTAAAGCATTCAATGAAAAAATTCAGTGAAACATTTTGGTCAGAATTCAGTCATTGGGTACACTTGTTTAGCCTACCCAATTTGTTTACCTGATTGACATCTTTAAGAAAATGAGCTTTAAATGATTGCACTGTACTTGAAGCACTGTGCTCTCCCTGGTAACCCTGAACTTGTTATCCAAGTTCAGCCCAACTTAACAGAAAAGTTGCAATCCCAAAAATAACTACAGTTCCTTTTGCAAAAGTAGCTAATAAAAGTTAAGATCCAAAACAGGGTTCATAGAGGGTAAAGCCACAGCATAAACTACTACTACATGTGTGMTGAGTGAGAGGCAAAGCTAAATAAAGAGTGACAGTAACAAAAATGCACCTGAGTTCTGGTGCTTTTTTAGCCTCCTCATTCACACAAGCAGGAGACTCAAAAGGTCTGTGCACAGGATAATTTACTCTGAATCTCAGGAGTTCACCTAGCCTACTTTGCTGGTCAGGTAAGCCTAAATTTAAGACCAGGTTGTTCAGGGCCTTTTCTAGTCAGGCACTAAGTATCTGCAAGGATTTAAAAATTCCATACACTTTGTCAGGCCATGATTTGAAGCCCCTCATAGTGAAACATCTTTACATCTATTTGAAATTTCACTTTCTGCAACTTGTGTTCACTGCCTTTTTCTGTGCACATCTGAGAAAAAGCTGGTTCCCTGTTCTCCACAAACTGTGGTTAGACAGCTGAGGACACCACTTAGCCTCTTGGTGAGGAAACAACCCCATATCTCCTAATCCCTCGTTCCATGGCCTTGTGCTGCAGCACAGGGATGATTCAGTGACTCCTTGGCTGGGTGAAATCCAGCTCTTCAAACTCTCTCATTCTCTGCGGGGTCCGGCATGAGACACAGGGTTCCAGATGTTGCCTCCTAAGTGATGCACAGATGGCAACCATTACTTCCTGCACTTTTCTTAATGTGCATCACCACAAGGATGCATTGTTCACTGACATCCAGCTCGTTTTCCAGCAGGAGTCTGTGTCTTTTTTCACTAAGCAGCTTCTTGGCATTGTGTCCCAAGTGTTAAACTTCATTTAATTTTACAAATATTCAGGCAGGCCCATTCTCTGACTGGAATTCTGGTCAGCTGGTCACCCTCTTCTGAGAGAACATTCCAACCCATCCCCATGGCTGTTGATGAAAATATCATGGGGTATCAGCCCTTGGTACTTACTGCTATGGAACACCACTGGTAAATCTGCTACCTGTAATTGTAAATTTACGCTCTGAACTTCTGAAACTGCCCTTTGGCCCGATTGGACCAGTTTTTCACCCAGAACTCTTTACCTGGTCGAAATAATTTCTTCCACTAAAAAATTAGGTAACAGTTGCACTGAACAAGTGAACAAAAAGTGCAAAGCAAACAGCAATTTGATTATGACACGTGACTTGACAAAGGCAAAAATTGTTGGAAGCAATATATGAAAAAAATTGCAGTGAGATCAGTGAGAAATGTAACCAGAACACCAAACAGTAAAAGACCAAGAGGTAGCAAGAGAGCCAAGGAAAAAAATTGTGCACAAACACCAATATATTACATCCTGGCTTTAAATATTTCAAGGCAAAACGTCTCTGCTAACTGCAGCAATCACCTTCCAGCAAAGAATTCTCCAGACACATGTGTTGCTATCTGAATGACTGATGTAAGTTTTAACAGATCTCTGCACATTTTGCCCTCTTCTTCCCCTTTGCCCCGTATTCTGATTTCACTCAGTGATCATGTTTCTTACTTGCTCAAACCCATGCAACAGTACTATCATAATGATATGATCACATTGCCAAGTTTAAGACAATGCTGTATTTTGACATGAATTGAGAGAAATTGAGAYGGATACAAGAAGAAYTGAAGAGTGACAGACACAATACACTTCTTGAAAAAATTAGAAAACATCTGAATCCTCATATAGATYGGCAAAATCTCCCTGACTACGTAAAAGCCATTGATGAATGTGTGTAGCGTAAGAAATTCCTTCTAAGAGAAAYTTGCAAAAATACTTGTAAAAAGAGCTTAAGTTTTACTCCTACTATTGTTAACCCTTTAGGATAAAAAAAAAGTTAATTTATATATAAAATTTATATATAAAAGCAGATAGAACTTATTTTTGTGTGGTACAGGGAACTTCTTCAAGTTCGTTCCCAAAAAGGATTCCTGACTGACATCCAAGACAGCCCACTGGTGTCATCTGTCAGTTTGGAGTTTCTCTCCACCCCCAGATCTGTGTTTTCTCATTTGACAATCGCATGAAGGTCGTGATATTGAGTAATAATGGTAGCAAAGGTCAAGAAGATATTCTACTCTCCCGTTTCATGAAGGAACACTTCACATGGGAGAAGCATTAAAAAAAACCAAAAAACCAAAAACCCACAAAAACAAACAAACAAAAAAAAACCAAAAGAAAACCCAAGGGGGAACCAAAACATTAATCTTCCCAGTTAATACTTTGCACATTTGACAACATTTTATATCTAGCTGTTGTCACTATTTCACTTCCATGAAGGAAATTGTCACTGGGATTTAATTGAGTCARACTACCATGACTTAACTGACTAGGGGACAGTACATTCATAGAGATTTGCAAGCAAGAAGTATCTATAGWAAGTGTCATACACAACAACACTAGTTACAGTCTATTGCATAATATAGAARTAACCAGATTCTTTAACTAAAGGGTCACAGATATGATTATTATATTAATCCTCCCATCCTAAAACTTATCTTCGTCTAGTGTTTAAACAAATCAGTGTTTCACAAGGTGCGCAGATTCAGCCACCTTAACACCTACAATGCACAGGATGCACTGACATTAGGACTGGAACTGCAGCAGTCGCTCCAGCAGGCCCTGGGTAGGTTTTAGCAGGGAACGCAGCGGAGTCATCGCATTGTTTGAACACCAGCTAATCACAGCCACCGAACTCGCACACATCTATTCCCCCAGYGCCTGAGAACCTTGCCCATTTGATTCCATCCGGGGCGAGATACCCGACAGATTGAAACCCCAACAGATTGCAAACGCAGCCTGCTCGGAGCAGCGGGATCTCGCAGTCCCCGGAGCAGCAGCAGCAAGAGACGCCGGTGCCGGGCTSGCCCCGGGAGCGCTCCCCGCGGGACGGGCGCTGCTCCCCGCGCCGCGCGGGAACGCCACCGAGCGACAGCGGCGTGTCCGCCASCCCCGGGCCGCCGGGAGACAGGAGGCGGCAGCCGGCACAGCGCAGCCCGGCCCTGCGGGCCCCATCCCCTGCCCTTCCCCAAGGGCACGGCAGAGGCCCCCGCCGGGATGGAGCGGAGTGAAGCCGCAGAAGCCGCGGCTCCCCTCAGGCCGCGGGGGCGCCGACCGCCACCGGTGCCGCCCCGATCGCCGCGCTGTGCTCACCAGGAAGCGGGAGGAGCTGGTGCCCTGATCGATGGCTCCCACCAGCGGCCCCAGCGCCGTGCGCTCGGACGCGGCCATGGGGCCCCCTCAGCGCTCCCGGTAACGGCCGCGCCGGCGCCGCGCGAGCAGCTCGCGGCCGGTGGCGCGTGGCTGCCGGGGTGAAGCCGGCGGGGGGGGCGGGGCGGGGGGCGCTGCCTCTCGCATTGTCAGCTCTCAGCCAATCAGCGCCCGGGGCGCGGCGGGGGCGGGGCCGGGGATGGCGGGAGGGGGCCCGAGGGGGGTGTGTCACGTGACGCAGCGCGCGCGGCACACGCCCCTCCGCTCCCCGCCCCTGAGGCGGTGGCGCGCGCAGGAGGGGCGGGCGGGAAAGCTGAGGCGGG